GGAGTTACACCCGCCGTTCAGAATAGGCAACAACTATCAGTTCCCGAAACGAAGCAAAAAAGGCGACCCCCCTAAATCTGCCAAGTGCCACTGCGGATCACGACTGGAGCAGTTTTAGACCCCCCCTCACTAAACTTGCACAAAAAACGCACTCAGCGAGCTCACGACGGTCGTCATCATCAGCATCAGAGGTGACACAGCCTGAGTGTGTATGGAGCCGAAAGGCGGAGTGCTCAAGAAAAGGGGAAAACAAATTCAAAAAAGTCAAAACATTCAAAAAATTCAAAAAATCATACACGAAAGAGAGAAAATCACCAGAAGCAAGAAAAACTGCCATTTCGTCAAAATGGACATTTTTTTAATTTTTTGAACGAAATTGAACCCCAGTTTTTTGGCCGAAAACTCGTCCAAATTTGCTGCTCCTGAGGGTCCGGCGTTCTTAAAACGCTGGACTCCCTGGATGTACGTGGAGTTAACTTGAAACCAGATACATCCAGGTGGTCCCCCCTGTGTTGCCTGACTGGACAAGGCAGAAGGGCGATGCTGGATGCTCCCTGAGCTTTCCAGCCCTTCCATTTGGCACATTATGCTGCTCCTGAGGGTCCGACGTTCTTAAAACGCTGGACTCCCTGGATGTACGTGGAGTTAACTTGAAACCAGATACATCCAGGTGGTCCCCCCTGTGTTGCCTGAGTCGACAAGGCAGAAGGGCGATGCTGGATGCTCCCTGAGCTTTCCAGCCCTTCCATTTTGGCACATTATGTCCTCCTCCACGACAGTAAAGCCTCACATTTTGTGCTATCTATGAATGTGTTTAAAAAAAAAAAAAATTCTCTTTTTTATAGATACCTGTTTCTGCAGCCTCTGAAATTCTGCGAGGGTCTCAGTTGCAACGGCCCATGATTGGTTGTCCTCGTCCTCCATGCTTTTAAGCGCCGTCAGAATTCTCGTCATGGCCTGCAGCTTCGCAACTCGCTCTTCCCGGATCACCGTGTACATCTTCGCGAGCACACGTGCTGCCTCCCTGATAAGGCTCACCTGCAGAGCAACAAGATGAAGTTTTAAAAGGGCGAACAGTAAAAAGTACTAAAAACACAAAAGGCGAACAAGGAGGGTCCTCGATGGAGCGCCAATTTAGTATTTCCTTCTGCAGCTAATTTACGCGGATTGCTTCTTTCAGAATGCACATGGACATGCCATGCAGCCTAGTTCAGTTGGTTGAGCATGAAAGCAGCATTCAGGAGGTTGTGGGTTCGATTCCCCCGGTCCCCAATTGAGCCCCCACACCTCCAAAGGCGCGCTGCTCGTGCACCAGCTGAGATAGTCAGCGTGTCCCTCCTGGTTGGTTGGTGGGGAATGCCACCCCTTGCCAAGGGTTAGGTTCAACCCTGAGGGGATAGGCTCAACCCATAACCCTTACTGTAGCTTGCCGCTAGAGGGTGGATCAAGGTGTGTATCATTCCTTGTTAGGTAGGTAGTGGGAGGTATATTGAGAGCAGAATATAGCCTCTTTTTTTTGAAGAAGAATGCACATCCACACACACACACCAAGGTGCAGCTGACCATCTCCCCTTAGTGCACCTTCGTTATAAAGTAGAAAAGAGAAGACTCAGATGAGTAGAGTAGAGTGGATCAAAGTACCGTAGCATAAAGTACGGTAGAGTAGAGATGAGTAGAGTACAGTAGAGTAGAGTAGGGAAGAGTAAAGCAAAGTAGAGTGGAGTAGCATAGCATAGAGTAGAGTAGATGTTGCATACTGTAAAGGTGCAGACCAGAACAAGAACCGACCTCTCTAGCAAAGTACAAGATAGCGCAGCGGAAAACTTAGATACCAATGATCCGAACAATCAATATTGCAATGCAGCCCTGAACATACATCATCATCATCATTCCATGGTGTGAAGGGGTCTGGCGCTTACACAGGAAGAATGCGCCAGCCCCAACCATACACAGACGAAGAAGAGGGGGGTTAGACGAAGAAGAGGGGAAGATGGGAATGTCGTCAACACCAAGTCTTCGGCACAGGCCCAAATAGTCCCTCGTCAAAATGTCTGAATCCCAATGTCGAGTCTGGATCCAATGTYGTCAAGTCTCAAGTCACAACTCTCTCTCTCTCTGTAGTAGTCCGCTGATACTGAGAAGTCAGGTGGTGAGAGGGGAAGAAGAGATGGTGGACTTAGAAGAGGAAGAAGAAGAACTCTCTCTCTCTCTCTCCGGTACTAACCTGTGAAGTTGGCGCCTTGATGCAGGTACCTCGAAGATGGAACTGGAGCTATGGCGCCACAGGTAAGTCCCACTGGCCTCCGCCAGCCATCTCTCCCAACTCTACTACTACCACCTAATAGCGCCCAGCGCTGAAGACTACTGCTATGGCTACTAGCGCCCAGCGCTGAAGACTACTGCTAGCGCTAAGCTACTCCTGCAGCGCTCCTCCTGAGTGCTGCGGCCGAATCGTGAAGACTACTCCTGCCTTCTGTCCAACTACCTACCCGTGAAGTGCATGGGAACTCCCTATGTACTTCTCGGCCTGCCTCCTGACTGCAGGGCGAGGCAGTCCAGGAGGCTGCTCTTGCCAATGCCAAAGGGAGTCAGAGGCTGCCGCTGCAGCTCCTGCATGAGGCTGTCGTGGGAACAGGCCAGAAATAGCCTGTTCCCGAAACCCTGGTTTTGTGCCTGAGTGTTAGGGTAGGTCGATCTTATGAGGGCCCGAAAGTGGCCCTCCGTTTCAGGCTGAAAAACCTCACGGCTGAAAAGCCCTGTTTTAGGCTGAAAACGAAATAGGGCCTGCAGGCCTTTGTTTTCAGTTTTCAGGCTGAAACGACATGGGGCCTGTAAGCCCTTATTTCTAGGCTTTTAGGCTGAGAATGCGGGACGGGCCCTGCAGGCCCGTGTGGCTACGCAGTATGCCACACCCCCCCCTCCTTGAAAGACCGAGCTTACCTGCGAGGGCGAAGCTGTCTGTCTGAGGGAGGGACCACAGTCCGGGTGGGAGGGGCAGGTCGTGAAGGTCCCTGAGCTAACCTTTGTCGCTCGTAGTGAGCGTAGATCAGCGGTGCAGATGCTTTCAAATCTGTTCCTGAAATCCACCGAGTGTCGTCGGGAT